GGGCCTGGTGCAATGGATCCACTAGCTGATTTTCTCCTTGCAAATGCATGTGCCAGCATCCCCTATGGGCACCAATTTGCATCCCAGCTGCTCCACTTCCCACCCGGCTCCCTGCTTGTGGCCTGGGAAAGCAGTGGAAGATGGCCCAAAGCCTTGGGATCCTGCACCTACGTGGGAGACCTGGAAAAAGCTCCTGGCTCCTGGCTTTGGATTAGCTCAGCTCTGGCCTTTGTGGCCATTTGGGGAGTGAACCAGCAGATGGAAAATCTTTCTATCTCTCCTTCTCTCTGCAAATCTGTCTTTCCAATACAATAAATCTTAAAAAAAGAGAGAAAGAAAAAGGAAAGAAAGAAATGTACATGCTACCCTATGCCAGGGAATAAAAAGTGATGGGATCCAAGGTGAGAAAAGTAAATTAATGACAAATTATGAAAAACCATGAATGCTTAGCTAATGAGTTTAGATTTTATCCTGTGACATAGTACTTTATATTTTTTTATTATTATTCATTTGTCTGACACAGGATTTTATTAAGAATATTGACATGGTCAACTCTGGCAGATGTGTTATAAATGGATTTGGACAGGCAATGAAAGCAGGAAGAACAGTTAAGATGCTATTGCAGGAGTCAGGCAAGCAACAATGAGGTCTGAATTGCAGCAATGGAAAAATCTACTGCAGATTCTAAAACAAAAAATAGGGTTTGGGCTTTTGTAATCTGTGCCTTCAAAATAAAAACTTGAAGCTAATTAATGTTCTGATCATAATTTTCAAATAATGCACAAAAAGAGAAAGAGAAGATAAATTAAGATAAAGACTAGAATTATCAAAGAAATAAATCACAATGATATCCAAGATTACTCAAGACTATAAATTCAGAAATAGATATTTCAGGTTTAGCATCAAGAAAGAAAACATCCTCATGACCAGACTGATACTCAGCAAGTCTTTTCTTCCTCTCAGGGCACTCATACTCTAGCCAGAAAACAAGCCCTATTCACCTTACATGCCCCTACTATGCAGGGTCAAACACATGTCCAGTGAGAAGCAGAGGGCGCAAAAAGTCAGATGCAAAACCAAACAGCTGAAGTCATGCAGGAGCCCCACTTTACTGAAACATTCAAAAGTATGCTCTTCCCTTAAGAAACCTAATTCATATTAAATAAACCATGTAAAAATAATACCATCATCCTAATACTAGCAAACACATATCCTAGTCTGTAAACTCTAAAATGCTTTGTGTGGAAGACAACCAGTTTGTAGCAATTTGAACACTACAAAAAAAAGAAAAAAAAAGTCATCTGACTTCTCCTGCAGCATGTTTAACCAATGAAATTATTCTAACAATAAAAACTTCAACATAGTCCAAAATGCCAGACAGTAAAATAGTTAGCTGTCGCAAACAAAGACTAATATAGCAATGTGAAACCCAAGTACAACATGTTAACAGGCATACTAGAAAACCTAACATTACTGTTCAAAGACCTAAGGATATTCACATTAAAGATAAAATCAGACCATAGTGAATGCCAATAATGCACCTCACACTGTATAGATACACATTCAAATGCTCTAGTTTGTAATGAAACCAGTTCTGTGTAATGAAACCAGTTCTCAAATTGGTATTCTCATCCTCTTAAGCTAAAGGGCACGTTCATGCCTCTGAGGTGGCATCATCACATTCTCTCTTCCCAGCACTGTCACCTCTAAGTCAGACTCCTGAAGAGCCAGAAAAGGTGCAAAGTCCTTCAGAAGAGGGCTGAGCTTGGGAACAGCACATGAGAGTCCAAGGAACCTTTGGAGTGACAGGGAATGCTGATGGGCAGGGCAGCAAGATACCAGAACACAGAGCATTCTAGGAGCTGCCTCTGGGTATGCCACCCCAGAGGAGGTGGACTCTGCCCTGAAAGGAAGTCATAGAAAGTGGAGGGAAGACTTGTGGACCCAAATAGGGCTGCCTCAAAACAAGATTTCCAAGGCCAAGGAGTCCACCTGTGAACATGATCTTCGCTGGCATTAAAGACAACACCGAAGGGGCCAACACAACAGGATAATCCTCCAAGTGCAGGCACCTGCATCCCATATGGTCACCAGTTCATGTAACAGTCTTTTTTTTTTTAAATGTAATAGGGCCCAGCATGGTGCCCTAGCAGTTAAAGGCCTCACCTTGAACTCGCTGGGATCCCATATGGCTGCCAGTTCTAGTCTCAACTACCCTACTTCCCATCCAGCTCCCTGTTTGTGGCCTGGGAAAGCAGTTGAGGATGGCCCAAAGCCTTGGGACCCTGCACCCATGTGAGAGACCCAGAAGAGGTTTCTGGTTCACGGCTTCAGAACGGCGCAGCACCAGCCATTGTGGCTACCTGGGGAGTGAATCATCGGACGGAAAATCTTCCTGTCTCTCCCCTTCTCTGTATATCTGATCTTCCAATAAAAATAAATCTTTAAAAAAATAAAAAGGTAATAGAAGGTCCAGGACAGTAGTCTAGCAGCTAAAGTTCTTGCCTTCTACACACCAGGATGCCATGTGTCCCAGCAGCCCCACTTCTCATCCAGCTCCCTGCCTGTGGCCTGGGAAAGTAACTGAGGACGGCTCAAAGCCTTGGGACTCTGCATCCAGGTGGAAGATATGGAGCAAGCTCCAGGGTCCTGGCTTCAGATCGGCTCAGTTCCAGCCACTGCGGCCACTTGGGGAGTGAACCAGCAAAAGGAAGATCATCCTCTCTGTCTCATCTCCTCTCTATATATCTGACTTTCCAACAAAAATCAATAAATCTTAAAAAAAAAAAAAAAAAAAAAGGCAAGAGCGTGATGCTGCTGAATAAATGTCTTTAAATTTTAAATGAAAAGGGCCCAGTGCAGTAGCTTAGCAGTTAAAGTCCTCGCCTTGCACACACCAGGATATCATATGGGCGCTGGCTCCTGTCCCAGCCGTCCTGCTTCCCTTCAAGCAGTTGAGGATGGCCCAAAAGCCTTGGAACCCTGCACCCACATGGGAGACCCAGAAGAGGCTCTGGGCTCCTGGCTTCAGATCAGCTCTGCTCCAGCCACTGCAGCCATTGGGGAATGAATCAACAGATAGAAGATCTTCCTCTCTCTCGGTCTCTCTGTATATCTGACTTTCCAATATAAATTAATAATCTTTAAAAATTTCTAAATGAAAATATATGAACTCAGAGAAAAATTTATTTAGGGCACATTAGGGCACAAGCATGTCAAATCTCCTACTCAGAAGGCCAGCATCCCTTACTGGAGTGCTGGTTCAAGTCTTGGCTGTGCCATTTCCAATATGGCTACAAAGCAGCAAGTAAAGACCCAAAATAACGGGGCCCCTCCCACCTACGTGCATAGAGCTCCTGGCTTCTGGCTTTGGCCTGGCCCAGCCCTGGCTGTGGTAGCTACTTGGAAAGTGAACCAGTGGATGAACAGATCTCTCACTCTCTCTGTTACTCTCTGAAAGAATAAATAAATCTTTAAAAAAGAAAAGGTAGTTGTAATATAGTATTCACTGGGAGAAAGAAAACCAGTTTACTCATAATCTAGTTCTTATCCTGAAAGTTGGGTCAGTCAAGGCAGGCCCCTTTCTCATGTTGTCATTCTAAAGCCGTTACTAAATTTTACATGTTATGCTTCCCCCACACCAATCACAAAACAAGACATCCCAAGAGGTCAAATTCCACTCTAACTGAAAGACCTCCAAACTTGAAGTAATGGTATACTTACTAAGTTATACTCAAAGATCAAATTCCACAGAAGTCCTCCTCCTCCTCCCCAACTTAAAAATCAACCCTCTCCCTTAGCTCACTGAAATGGAATGTGACCTGAACTTAAGGGCTTTCTCATTCCTTAATTTCTGCTTACAGAATATGACACTGACCTACTCTCTCATAAAAAGCAAAATACAAGCGGTTAACTGTTTAATTATAATTAGGACAAAAGGTAAATTGCTTTACTAGATACGTAACTTATGAGCTGTTCTATTAAAACAATACATGAGACTTAAAATGAGAATACTGAATCGTACATAAATCTTTAGTTTTAGAACACTTTCCAGGCATCTAGAATACTTATGATTTCTATGCCTCCTAAATAAACAGGCCAAGAAAAAGCAGGTTAAAACCACATCTACTGGGTCAGGAATTAGACCAGCAGTTACTAGTTAAGACGCCCAAGTGCCCAGGTTCAATACCTGGTTCCAGCTTCTAACTCCAGCTTCCTGCTGACACAGATCTTGGGAGTCAGCAGTGATGGGTTCCGGCCACTAACTACATGGAGACCTCAACTGAGTTCCTGGCCCCCCACTTTATCCCTGTCCAGTATAGGCTATTGCAAGCATTCGGGGTGTTAACTAACAGATAAACATTTTCTGTCGGTCTCTCAAATAAATTTTAAAATCAGAGAGTACATGTTATGGCACAGCAAGTTAAGGTGCTGCCTGCAACACCATCATCCCTGTAGCAGTGCCAGCTTGAGGTCTGGCCATTCAACTTCTGTGTGCTATGTGCTACTGTGCCTAGGAAGTAGCATATGATGGCACAAGTTACTGAGTCCCTGCCACCCTTGTGAGACACCCAGACAGAGTTCTTGGCTCTTGGTTTCAGCCTGGTCCAGCCTAGCTAGAGCAACCACATGGCAAATGAAATAGCAGATGAAAGATTTCTCTCTCCCTCTACCACTCCACCTTACAAATCAATGAATACAATCTTCAAAAAGTAAAATTACTCTCATTTGAATCTTTGCATACAAAATTGCTATGAACATCTTCCCATGATAAATCAAATTTTTATCAGTTACACACTTAAGTACCTAACTGTAGAGAGAACAGGGATTTAAGATATACAATTCAGCGTTTGAAATTAAAAACTCACACCTGAGGTTCATTAACTCATCAAAAAAAAAAGGCATTTGACTAAATGACCACTAAAGCTATTTCAAAATAAACAGTCAAGGATTTAAATCAAACGTTCTCCCATAACCCCCTTTAAAGATGTTTTACTTACATTCTTCCGACGCCTTCATACATGTTAGTCTCATCTACCAAAGTCATAATTTCTGTATCTGTAAGATGTGCATGTTTTTTTGTTCTGTTTAGCTGTTCAATCTGTATATCTGCAAGCTTCACCTTCTGTTGAGTGTCAATAACTTTGGCCTGAAGCTCTGTGAAGGCCTAACAAAACAGATACTTGGGTTAGCAGGTAAAACATTTCATAAAAAGCATGTATGCAAAATAAAAATACATTAAACCTTACTTTCAATTCATGAAACTCTGAAATTTACCAAAGCAAGCATCAATAAGTTTGCAACATAATTGCAAATAATCAAGTCAATATGCTAAATACTAAATTTACCTATCCTTGGAAGACACAAGTTGAAGCAAAAAAAAAAGTATCACATAACTGTATCAAGCACTCAAAGGTTTCAAGGACAAAACTTAAAAATTCAAAGGAAAAACAAGAGCCAGTGGCGGTACAGAACATTAAACTGCCATTTGCAAAACAGGCATTCCATACTGGAGTGCCTGACCGTTTTCTGTTAACATGCTTAGAACAGAGGAAGATGGCCCAGTGCCTGGGCCCTTGTCAGCCATGCAAGAAACCCAGATGGAGTTCCTGGCTCCTGGCTTCAACATGGCCCAGTCTTGCCTGTTGCAGGCATTTGAGGAGTGAACCAGAAGGATGAAGGACTGATCTTGCTTGTTCAATATCTACCTAATTCCTCCTAACCCTCCTCTGCACTCTCCTTCCTCCTTCCCTATCCCATCACTCTACCTTACAAATAAATAAAGTCTGGGGCTGACACAGTGGCTCAACAGACTAATTCTCCACCTACAAGTAACGGCATCCCATATGCAACAGTTTGGGTCCCATTCCCATCCAGCTTCCTGCTTGTGGCCTAAGAAAACAGTTGGGGGTGGCCCATCTGCTTGTGCCACTACACCCACGTGGGAGACCCAGGAGTAACTCCTAGCTCCCAGCTTCATATCAGCTCAGCTGTGGCCATTGCAGCCATTTGGGGAATAAGCCAGTGAATGAAGACTTTCTCTCTGCGAAATCTGCCTTTCAAATAAAAATAAATAAAATAAATCTTAAAAACAGCAAAAAAGTTTAAAATAACCACTCCATTGGTAGTACAAAACTAGGTTTTAAAGCACTTCCCCACACTCATTTGAAATGTTAAAATGAGAAAATGAAGGAAAATATTAAAGAGAAATAAAGTACATATATCCTTTATTCCCCTAACTAACATTGATTTAGAGAATACACTTTGACCAACTGCAAATCACAAAAAGCGGTTTCTGGGCCCAATATGGTAGTCTAGCAGCTAAAGTCCTTGCTTTCGCATCTGCTGGAATCCCATAAGGTGTTAGTTCATATCCTGGTGGCCCCACTTCCAATTCAGCTCCTTGATTATGACTTGGGAAAGCAGTTGAGGACAGCCCAAAGCCTTGGGACGCTGAACCCACATGGGAGACCTGGAAGAGGCCAAACACCCCTGGCTCAGCTCCCCGCATTGCAGCCACCTGGGGAGTGAATCATCAGACGGAAGATCTTCCTCTCTGTCTCTACTCCTCTCTGTATATTTGCCTTTCTCTGTAGACTTGACTTTTCAATAAAAGTAAATAAAAATCTTTTAAAAAAAATGGCTTCCACAGGTTGAACAATATTGAGTAGAAAGGCAGGTACTGAAACTCCTCTCTTCTGACTCCTTAGTTACAGAATCTCAGCTCTACTGTTTACAAAAACATATAGAACATGAATTTTTTTTAAGAACAAAAAGAAAAGTTGGCAGAAGAATTACATTATGATCTTCAGACACCCACATCAAGCCCAATTTGACCCCTGGATACATTTCACCTGAAAATCAACACAGCGCTTGGATGTTCTTGTTGAAGTGGCTGGAATGACTTTCACATGCAGTGAACTTCATGTCTTAATAGTGACATTCTGACTGCAATATATACCTGTTTTCATAATGTACTGTGGTGTGTGTATTCGACTTTTTTTCTTGTTTAAATTGACTTATCTACCAGCAGGGCTCCAAAAGATTTTGAGGACGAAGAGATGCCTATATTTTCCTATGAGTCTCCACTCAAAAAAATACGTTACAAAGACATTAGCTGGCAAAACTTATAAACACAAGTTTTTTAACTGGTTGTCAAAACTATCCATTTTATCCAAAACTTTCCCTTAGTTTGCATTAACTGTTCATCTGTTTTCTAACAATAAATTCAGAGTTAATTAACAGTGAATCCTTGTAATAGCTCTTTCAGTAAAATCCTGGTTTAAATTTGTATATAATGGAAAAAAAGGTAAATTGTTAGAGGACACAAATATGTTTTAAAATGTACAATTCCAGATGTTCTGTTCTATACATAATTCATTGAGGAAGTAAGAAGTTAAAGGTAAGATTAGAGAAAGACTTGCAAAGGCTAAATGTGTAAGTTTCAAAACAAGAGAAGGAAAAAAAAAAAAGACATTCAATCAAAGCAAGAACCGCTTCATTCAGCAACAGCTATTTCAGCTGTCCTGTTTCTAAGGCAAAGATTGACCAATTGTAGTTCACTTGGAGGATCTAAACTATGAGTCAAAAAAAAAAGTGTAAGAAAACACTATTCTAGTTCCAATCTTTCAGACTTCTCTGGCACCTTTTCCCTTTCCAAAAAAAGCAGATTTTAGCTAAATTATGTGTAGAGTCCTTTCCACCCTTCCATCACCACTGCAAAGCCTGTCGTGGTGTTCGAATCCTGACTATTCCCTGATGTCACACATACAGAAGCAACGGTTTGAACCAAAAAATCCAATGCCCTTTTCTCAACCTAGTCTTTTTTTAGACAAGACCTTCAGAACGGGAAGGGGTGGCGGGAGCGCAAAGCCCTCTTACGACCTTTCAAGGTACAGGATGGAATAAATTGCTTTAAAAACAGGTGTTGGCGTTTAAAAAAAAAAAGTTTTTTTTAAGCAAGCCGCATTACAGAAGCCCCCGCTCCAAGCAAGCATTCTAAAGAGGCTTGAAAACACTGTCTTCTATAACTACCAAATAACTGGGTCCTCTAAAGCGCCACGAAATGGTCCTGGCGCTCTGAACAAGCCGACAAGTTCGCACTTTCGTTCGCCTCCCCTCCCCAGACCCACCAGCTCCCACCAACCAAGAGAGGCTTGCCGACCCCCGACCCGCCAAGCTGAAGGAAAAGCAGTCCCGCCTGAGACCTTTGGGAACACCTTTGAGCCAGCATTCCCCAGCCCTCTAGCTCCTCTTTTCTTCTGCGAGGTTCAAGCCTCACTCGATAACTCTTGCCCACAACTCTCTCAGCCTCCAAACACAAGCCTCTCCCGGTTCAAGACCCCCCTACCTTCTTCAGCTCCAGATCCACGGGGGCCGCCATCTTGCTGTCCTCCAAGCGCCTGCGCGATGGAGGGCGGCCGGAAAGCGGGCGGGGGAAGGGCACGCGGTTTGACGGTTCGCCTACCTAATGCGCCTGCGCTTGAACCGAGTTACCTGGGATTTTTTTTTTTTTTTTCCCCTTCTGCTGGGCAGGTGAGCCTGAGTATTCTTGATTCTAAATGCGCTCGTTTTGCCACATGACCTCTCAGATCTGACTTACTCCTCCACATCTCCCAGATACAGCCCCACGCGCAGATATCGTGTGTGGCTGTTAGCAATTTGACAAATAGCTTTGCTGCTAAATGCAGATGTGCATGAATCAGATCAAACCTTGGTCCGTTTCTCAGTGCTTCAGCTGATCCTGTGCTGTCAGGGATGAGTAAGAGAGGGCTCAGGACAGTATGGAGAAGACTGTTAGAAGGCGTGGTTGTCTGTCCAGAGAACTTAGTTCCACTATATGCACCCATACACCTTCTAGTCGCAGTGGCTCTTAAGAAAAGCGGGAAAAGTTTGTTTTTGGAAAAGATGAGGGTTGGGGGGAGGAAGGGGCCTGGGCGGTTGCCTACTGGCTAAAGCCCTCAGCTTACATGTGCCAGGATCCCATGTGGGTGCCGGTTCTAATCCCGGCTGCCCCACTTCCCATTCAGCTCTCCATGCCTGTGGCCTGGGAAAGCAACAGAGGACGACCCAAAGCCTTGGGACCCTGCACCTGTATGGGAGACCCGGAAGAAGATCCTAGAAGAATCTCCTGGCTTGGGCTAGGCTCAGATGCAGCCATTGTAGCCACTTGTGGAGTGAACCAGCAGATTGAAGATAATACTTCTCTCTTAAAAATCTGACTTCGCAATGAAAAAAAAAAAAATCTTAAAAAAAAAAAGGCATTCAGGGCTTGGTGCAATAGCGTAGTGGTTAATTCCCTCACCTTGAACACACCCCGGGATCCCATATGGGCACTGGTTCAAATCCTGGCAGCCCCACTTCCCATCCAGTTCCCTGCTTGTGGCCTGGGAAGGCAGTCGAGGATGGCCCAGAGCTTTGGGACCCTGCACTCAGAGGAGGCTCCTGGCTTCGGATTGGCTCAGCTCCAGGCGTTGCGGCCGCTTGGGAAATGAATCATCAGACAGAAGATCTTCCTCTGTCTCTCCTCTATGTATATCCGCCTTTCCAATAAAAATAAATAAATCTTTGAAAAACAAACAAACAAAAGCATTCAGTTTGTCTTTGGGGTCTACCTGACTTTCCTGAGATGTGTATTTCTCCTGCTTGGTGCACGGTGTGTTTCTTTAATTTGAGGATTTGTGTCAATTTTTGGAAATTGTTCAATCAAAATCTCATGGAAATTAGTTCTCACCTGTCTTCACAGAACTCCTAATAAAATGCGTTAGCAGTAGTCAGATCTCTTAATCTCTACTTTAAACTCTGTTTTCTTGTGCTGCACTCTCGCTTTCTACAACTCTTCTACCCATGTTTCATCTTTTCAACTTTGCCTAGTTTCTGCTTTAAACCATATATAGAATTGTTTCAATATCTAAGATCTTTGGTTCTTTTTTAAATGTCCCTAACATTTGTTTAATTGATTTCATTTTCCTAAGAGACAGAAAAGAGAGCTCCCATCCTTTGATTTACTGCTTCTTTTTTTAGCATAACCACTTTTTTTTTTTCTAAGATGTGTTTATTTGACAGAGGCAGAGAGAGAGAAAGGAGGAGAGAGAAAGATTGAGACATATTTGATTGGTTTGTTTATTTCTCAAATGGCCAAACAATCAGAGTTGGGCCAGGTTGAAAACTAAAGCCAGGAGCTTCACCCTTAACTCCCACATGGGAGCAGGGCCCCAAACACTAGGACCCATCTTCTGCTGGTTTTTTGTTTTTTTGTTTTTTTCAGGTTTTTTGTAGGGTGCTGTGTTGGAAGTGGAGTAACCAGGACATGGACCAGGACTCACATGGGAGTCTACTGCTCCACCATGATATCCTCCCCTCCAATATTTTCTTAATCAACAGTGAACATAATGAGAATAAAGTAAACTTAAGTATCTTAAACTTCCTCTCCAGTGACATGTCATGTGAGGGTTTCTGGATGTAAATTCTCCTATAGGAAGCATCAACTGGGTCTGATGATTATACATTCACTTCTGCCACGGAGCTGGGAGATTCGTGGCTTCCAGACCAATCTTAATTATTGACCCCACATAAGTAAACCTAATTGGAAGAGAATAAAACTTGTCCTGAGCCATATACATGCATTTTTAAGGCTGGGGATCATTAGACCATATTTCCATATCTCACTTTCACTTCAGTTTTCAAAATAATTAAGCTATTTTCCTTCTCTCACAGGCACTTCTTTCAAAAAAAATTTTTTTTATTGGAAAGGGATATTTACAGAGAAATAGAGAGAGGATCTTCCATCCCCTGGTTTGTTCCCCCCAAATAGCCACAATGGCTAGACCTGAGCTAATCCGAAACCAGGAGTCAAAAGTTTCCTCAGGGTCTCCCATGTGGGTGCAGCTTTTCAAAGACTTAGGCCATCCTTCACTGCTTTCCCAGACCATAAGCAGGGAGCTAGATTGGAAGTTAAGCAGTCAGAACTAGAACTGGCAGCCCTATGGGATGCTGGCACTGCAAGGCAAAGGAATAGTCTGTTGAGCCACCACGCTGGCCACAGCTCTTACAGGCACTTCTAAACTGGCAGACACTGTCTGTGTCTGAGAGCTCTGAGAATCTATAGTCCTTTGACAGTTTCCCAAAGAGTGACCCTGATATGTTTGATTCATCCCTTTTTTCTTTTTTCTTTTTCCTTAAGATTTATTTCTTTTACTTGAAAGTCAGAGTTACAGAGAAAGAGAAAGAGGGAGACAAAGAGATCTTCCACCTGCTGGTTCAATCCCCAGATGGTGTGAATCAATGTATGTACTGAGTGTTCAGGATGTTGCTTGAAACGCTGTGTATGCCATGAGCATTTTTAAACTAGAGCTGTTATAGACACGTTGCTTCCTGGCTTATCTCACTCCTGTGCCACACATCCCCTTGCTATGGCATCATATCTTGATGATTTCTGTAGATGCCCCTTCCAAGCTCTCAGTCACCCTGCCCCAGGGCACTTGGGAAAAATGGGTTCTGTGAGCCTGGCAACACCACCCAATGGCATCCTCTGAGAGTCTTGAACCAAATGAGGCAGAACTGAAAGCTTTCCAGCCTCCTCCCAATGGGCCATCTTCTGAAACCCTTCAGCTGCTTCCTTACAGGTGAACTCTGCTACAGCTGGGGGCATCTGGAAGGCTCCTATGGTAGCTCTGCCAGGGCCTCCAGGATGGGAAATGAACCTCCCCAGGTGATACTTTGCCAAGAAACTTGAGTTAACCAAGAGCTTTCAGGGCTGGGAGCCTGCTGAGCAGGAAAGGGGTTTCACTGCGCCCACAGAGCAAGACAGTCATAGGAAACTCTGCAATCAGAGGAAGTGAGTCGCATTTAGCAGGAACGGATGCTGACCTTTCCCAGGCATCTTGCCACATCTGATTCAATCTGTTTATGAAAATTCAAAAGGCAGGTAATATTTTCAATTAATGCCCATGACTTAAACCTTTGTAGGAGATGGAGCTGTGTAAAAGAATGTGTCAAAGGTTCAGGTATTTATCCTGTGGCTCACCAGAGAAAGTGAGGGTGTGGGAAGCACAGCATGAGATGCGGAGTTTGTTCAAGATTGTGAGTTGGATAAAACTAAGGAAACTGAAAGTCTAGTGGAGAATCCATGCCATGATCAGCCCCATTCAGCAAGCAGATGGGGCCAGCATCATGGCTCAACAAGCTAATCCTCCACCTGAAAGCACCAGCACCCCATATAGGGACTGACTTATGTCCTGGCTGCGGCATCTCCCATCCAGCTCCCTGCTTGTGGCCTGAGAAAGCAGTAGAGAATGGCTCAAAGTCTTGGGATCCTACACCCACATGGGAGACTTGGAAGAAGCCCCTGGCTCCTGGCTTCAGATTGGCTCAGCTCCAGCCATTGTAGTCATTTGGGGAGTGAACCAGTGGATAAGAGATCTTTCTGTCTCTACTTTTCTCTGTAAATCTGCCTTTCACATTAAAAAAAGAAGACAATAAAATGTCATGAGTTGTTTACGATAGCAACAGGAAGACAGTGGGGTTGGGTTGAAATTTGAACAAAGCTCCACATACATTTTATAAACAGGCACCCCCCCAAATATATATATAAACACTTTTAAATTAAATAAATCTCTTCTTTAAAAAAGAGTCTTCTTTCCAAAAGAGTAAGCATAACTGTCAAAGGAAATAGTAATATATGTTGTAAGTGAAAAAAAAAAATAACACAAACATGTGCACTACAACTTTGTTGCCAATATTTCAAAGTTTTCGAGCTTCTAATGAATATGTTGATTTAATTTCAATTAGTTATGGACTTCATAATGTTGATCTTTTATTTTTCCCCAGATGATAATGCTCAAGGATCTTAAAGAAACAGCATGGCTTTTGAGGGGTTTTTAGACCTCTGAGTATAGGGAGGCTCCATCTGAGACTCAATCTGGCTTGGTTTCTCTGGTCATAGACACTGTCTCTCTAGCTTCATTAAAGACAAATTGTTACAGGCACTGCAGAGGGGAGGTGGCAGTTACCACTTCCTTTTGTCTTCTCAGCCAAGGTCAAATGCCTATGCGTGGGTTTGGGAAGAGGCAGAACTCAGCAGGCTGTGGATGAGTGGCATCCATGACCTCATCAGTCTTTGTCCTTCTAACCACAGTGCACAACAGAGAACACAGGAGGTCATCAAGAGTGATACTTACACTGCAATTTCAGACTCTACCTACAGAAGGCTAGGCACAGATGAGGCGCAGATTCTTCAACGGCCCCCATTAGTCCATGTCTTTCCCACGTCCCCAATTGTGTCTGTCATCTAAATATAAAATCTTGTGTAAAGTTTCCGGGAAGGGTGAAGGGAGAATGCTAAACTGAAAGAATTTGAAGTAAACTTTGAGTTCTTCTTGCATATGTGCTTACTTTATAAAGAAAA